GGTTGGTGTCCACGAATCGTGAACGTGAGAAACAAAATATGATCTCAAAAACAATCAGACTTCACCGGACCCGGGCTGGATAAAATTTTCGGGAAAATAATACTGAAGCCCTTGTAATTTCGAAAAGACTTAAGTTCCCCTAGGATGACCGGACAGATACAAATTTTTATAGCGCCGCTTAGAATGCATTTTTAGCGGTCTAAAATACTCTGGATAGCCTAGAAAGTGTTTTAAATGAATTTGGGAGGAAACCGTCGTCGGGTGCCCCTGACGAAGGTGAGGATTTTTCTGATTCCTATTCTTGGGTTGCACGTGACGTCATTAAAAATCAAACTAAGAAACTATCGATTCTTCTGAGTTTCTACTTTCACGAGGTATTACAGTACCTAAACACCTTTACATAAACAGATTTTTAGTCCGAAAGGGTTCTTCGTTTTGCGAGAGAGGACGCTTGAATTTCCAGGCTTTTGCGTGACGCGGCATTTAGCTGGCGGCCGGGAAAGCTCTTATGTGGGTTAAAAACATTACCGACTTTGGGAGATTTTGCAATCTAAACATTCCTTGTCTCAGAATAAATATTACTGTAATCTTTATGAGTTCCTCAAGCGAAGAATTCACGCATTAGTAGGAAAACTCGAAAACAGATGTTCCTGTTGGTATCCGGCGGCCATATTGGTGTTCCTGAAGAAGGGACACCAACATGGCGTTCATACAAAGCTTTATAAATTTAGGTAAACCGTTTTTCCCGATATCTCGCATTTGAAATATTTCACAGAACTGATTCTTGGCAAGGGTTTTTGTATATTTACCTTTTTTCATTCCCCAGATTCTAGTCCTTCTGTATTGAATGGTTTGCATTTTTATTTTTCATTGCTTGACAGTGCAAGCCGAGAATCGATATCTTAATCACATTGTTGAACCCGAAAATTTTACGTTTCCTTTTTCTACGAAAAACAGCATTACGGTCATCTATTTTTTGTAGCCGTCCTCAAGCAATAGAAAATCCAAGGCAATGTTTGCTTCTCCGAACAGATATTAATTTTACAGAAAACAGTCGTTCGGTGCCCCTAAAACATGGACTGGAGTGATAAAACGTGGTGATGAAACGTGGAGTGATAAAACATGGAGTGATAAAAATAATAAAATAAAATACAGACAACCCTCTCTTAACTGACACCTCTATAAGAAGGACACCACGTGTCCGTTCCTGCCCTTTTCAGTCATATTTAATACTGTGAATAGTGAGCTTAAAGCAAAAAGACGACGGCAAACCGGAGTAATCAGTCATCTCAGGAACACCCGATGTAATAAAGTGTAACTTGATTACCGCAATTCGTTTTACAGGCGCAAAGTATTGTCTTAAATTAAATATCTGTATTTCGATTGCACGTTCTCAATAAAAACGAAAATGTTATCAATGCATTTGAACGCGACTTCTTGAAAATCGCAAAAATTTATTCCCAGCAAGAAAAACTACTCTGTCCAAATCGTAAAAATAAACTCCCGCAAAAATTTCGTGCCATGACCTTTTGCTCGATTCTACAGTATAAAAGCAAAGGCGCGGTATCGACTGAAAATTTTACTACAATGAACAATCAAAGTCACAAATAACTCCTCTGCGTCCTGTACATGTGTTCCAGACCGTTACAGATCATGCTAGGGTTGAAAACACCATAGGTAATAACAGCTAGTGTTACTGTCAAATACTTTTTGGTTTTTCGTATTTGCTTTCGAACCCTTTAATTTGAAGTTTCTTTTGCGTTATTATCTTATAGTATTTGTGGTTTTTGCCGCGGATAAACTATGTCACGCAACGCTCCCCCAAAAGCGTTGCGTGACATCCAAAAAAACGGCTTCAAGGACGGATATACTTGCCTACTTATGATTTACAAACAAAGAAATCTATTATCCTTGTCGAAAGTGCTCAGAAAACTTTTTCAGTTCTAGCCAACGTGTCATCGTGTTAAGATCAAAGTAAGGCTCAACGTCAACGCTGTGAAATCCCTAACGCGAACACAGAAGTAAGTCTTTTCACTTCGTGCATGTTACGTTTTACTTTTTTGCATCGTATTAATGAAATCCAACTAACTATAGTTTTCGCTGTATTTATTTCTTAGTTTTCGAAACGGCTTTGTACATCGTTTTCTTCGTTTACACCACCTAATCATCGCTTCGCTACGCATCGCTTCTTTCAACATTGTTAACGTCTCTTCGCTTCGCTTCAATAAACTTTGTTTACATCCTTATTGTCGTGAGCATCATTATTGTAGCGAAAGTTCTTAAAGCCCGTCAAGAATTTTCTGTCTTAAAGTGGAATTAAACGATCGTCCTGTGAGTAACGTTCCGGAGTCACAGCTAGTGGGGTTTGGCGCTTGCTCACCTTAATTAAACTGTAAAATCTTCTGGATCTTGCGTACGTCTCCTTCTAAAGCAACGTTTTCGGTGACCAACGTGTACAATTCGATGAAGGCTAGTAAACACACCGCACCTTTTATACCTTTGTGGTAAGTAGAGCAGATGATAAGAAGAACAGAAATTCTGTTTCAGCTGTATCGCAAGTTATGACTGCTGGAGGAAGTGTTAACGACTGAGGTCAAGATCTGAGAAAGGCAATTCAGTTATGATTACGGAAATAAGTCTTTCCGCATTCACAACATGCCTGTCTCCCAACATTATATGTTTCGAGAAAGAGATAATGATAATGATAATAATAATAATAATAATAATAATAATAATAATAATAATAATAATAATAATAATAATAATAAATAATATTTAACGAAGAGGCCGCCTTCCTCTTTTCGCCGTGCATTATACTTAGAGTGGAAGTTATGCACCACATTTTCGATGACGATATTGGGGAACTTCGATGGGGAATTTTCGAGCCGAATTTGTTTCGTTATCAAATTCCTCGTATGAATTTTTCTTAGGCTGTAGCATGAATATTTTTTAGGGTTAATTGGCGGGTTAGCATTCGCTTTTAAAATATTGGTAAATGTAAGCCTGCGTCGAAGACTCCACACTGCTCGAAAAGACAGTTTTTGTTAATATGCTACAGCGAATTGTTCTATTAGCTCTCACGCAGGTCAAATTCAACAGAGTGCAACAATTGTATACAAATTACTATGGGGTGTACAATGCTGGTTTTCACTTGACGTATTCGAACTTCAAAACTAGAGAATTATGTATTGATCCTTCATGAAGTGCTAGGGCAGCTTAAAACTAATATTTACACATTTCATAAGGACATTTCGTTTTGTAATACAGTACTTTTAAATTTCTAAGCTTTTGTTTGACACGGGATTTACCATGGCATGACGACCGAGGCTGCTGTCATGTAGATTAAAAAGGTGATATATTTTGGAAGATTTTTGATTTAAACAATCTTTAAATAAGAAAAATTATTCTCGCGGAGCGAGTTTATAATCTTGTCGCGCACAAAGCGCGTGTACCGCGCGTGTACCGCGCATGGTCGTAGCTAGCTGCAAACTCGAACGCCTCATCTTTCTATCTATGAATCAAAGGAGGATGTAACACCCTTCCCGGCATGCTTTGCAGATGAAACATATTATCGACCTTGTTCGTCACGTGATCGATTTAGTTCACGATGGACGCCGTGGCCGTCCGATATCAAACTTCTTCACCAAGGCCAAAGTTTCGCGTTGTTCAAGGTTTAAAATTTTAATTTAAAAAAAATGCTCACTTTTCTTTTTGTGGACAAAGGAAAGCTTTGCAGTGTGAAATTGTCCTTCGAAGAATTCAACATTGTTTTCTTCCGGGCGGGGCTTAGGTTGTTTTTGAAAATATGTAACCAGGGTAGCGAAGGTTTTGAAGAATCTTCAGGTACATCTCGTACTTTGTGGTCGTGAAAATAACATTTTTAAAAGCGAATTTATGTATTTTTAAAAGATTCATAGACGTTTTATTCATTTTGACATCGGTGTTAAAGAAAAATTACAAAATGCTACCCGATTTGAGATACATTTGGGGTTGAATTTTGCAATGTACGCAGCCAATTTTTCTTGCGTGAACGGTCAACGATCCAGTTAGTATTACGCGAATTGCTTTCAAGGATTAACTCAAAATAAAAACTTACAAGAAATTATTTCTCAGTCTCTTGTTTTATAGTTTTTCATTCATAACATTAGCAATCGTGAGACTACAGCATTACACGCATTACTTTTGCGAAGATGTTAGCGAATTTTACTTTCAGGTTCATTTTTGCCAACTTTTCGATGCCCAGCTAATGAATTTATTTGAAAATATGCTTTACTGGCTATTTTATCTAGATTTACAATAAGATAAGTTTTAGAACCTAATGCACTCTAAGTTTACTGCGTTCGGGGTCTCCGAAGCGCGGGTGCAAACTTGGGTGAAAAATTTTCGCGAAATTCAACGGTCGATAAAGCATGAATGGAAAGAGGCTCTGCTTGGATCTTAATCACGTGCATGTAAAATGACTGTTGATCTTTTTTTCTGGTGAAAAAAGGTGAGCAGAACCTCAAGACTAAACTATACGCGAGACTAATTATTTAACCGCACTTGACTGTGGCGTCATGAGCAATACGACAACAGAGAAAAGTACGTACCGACGACAATCTTTTTTGTGCACAAAAGCTGCTTTTTATTGCCTTAAATGTGTCTATTTCGGAAGATTATATATTCATAAGGTCGGCAACGAAAAAGTTTACTGACCTTTGTGTCCTGGCGGGTGGATAGATTATTGTAAAAAATCCCAAAAACCATGCATTTATGAGTCATGCAACAAAATATCACCCGGTGCACGATGGGAAGGGTGCTACATATGAATCTATTTATCGAAAGGTGTCCGCCATGACATCATCTAGCGTGTGACGTCACGGGACAGTTTGTGTTTCCAGGCAACATGGCGTACTATCATGTTTTATTCATGAAGAGCTGATTCTGCGAATGAATCACGAGCAATTTCTCATGCAAATAACACACATAAGCAAACCTGATAACAACGCTAGATAAACCAAATTACTGGAAATCCTCGCCGGGGAGGATTTTCATCGAAACTTCTCTGGAGCGAGAATGCCGACTTGAAATTCAGCGCAAACAACGGAGTAAAAGACGACAACAAAAACCTGCGGAGCATGGAGAACATTGTTCAGCACAGCGAAGGCAACGGAACAGAGGAGAGGCTAAAGCGACCACAAACATGTACAGAGTCATCGACAAAATACCACAATCACCCTGCAAACGAAACCGATAATAGGGAGTTTAAGATACGGACACTACGGACTACGAACTACGGCTGGACGAGCGTTGTCCTTTGTTCGTAGCACTGGGTTGAGTCGTGCAAATATAGAACGTTAAGATTGCACTACAGACAGTAAACTACGAGAGAAGAGGCGGAGAGGGAAACAAGAGGCAAAGATTTTCTTGTTTTCATCACAGTTCACAAAAATGCAAGTCAGTTTTGCATGTGATCTTATCTTTAGAACAATGAACAAATTCTTCCATACTTGACGGAAGCAATTACGTCTGGTCAAATTGGTAAACAAAGTTTTGGTTACACAGGTTTTATTTTTTCGCCCATGAATACTTATGTCAAATATTAAAGAAATAGACAGAAATAGTAATAGTTCATTTATTAGATTTAGAGGATGGACTTCTCCGACTACTGATCTGATGTAGTTTGAAGTATTGAAATGCCGAGTTTCGATTGTGTCGAAGATGTTTACATCATTTTCATTCAGCAAATGGCGCGTTTCAAAAACTCGCATAAACAAAGGTTACACACGTACAAAGACACGATGATCAATTCGACCAAACATTGAAACTTTTCAAGTGCGAAGAGAAAGTAAATTACCTGCATGATTTCTCTTCTCCTACGCCGTCAATCTGAATTCTGCGTATAAACATCTGAGCTGAATATGAGCTTAGCTAGAAAGATTTGAATCACAACAGTCGATTAAAAGCGTAAATCAGAGCAGAAATTAGACACAACTTACATATTTCGCTTGCCTCTCACTTAAAGCAGGTGAATTGAAAACTTTTTTACGAAAAGATGAGATTCTTGAGTTACCGGACGGCAAAATACGAGGAAAATGTTCTCCGTAGTCGCGACTACGCGAAACAGCTCAACAACTCACCGTAGCCGCAGGACTTCGCGGGAGAAATGAACAGTCACGTGGTTTTGATCATGCGCAGTAGCAAGTTTATCCGTAGTCGTAGTCCGTAGTCGCCGTATCTTAAACTCCCTAATGAAGAGAGGGAACAACGACTGCCGACGCTTGAAGAAAATCCCGCCAAAAGAATTCGCAACGAAAGCGATGAGGAGAGGAAGCACTTGAAGTTTACAGTCAAAGTTATCTTTTTCGATGCAGCGATAAGCAGCATAGAAATACACGATCTGCAAAATGCACGTGAAGAATATCTTTCCAACGGGCTGAGGACGGCTGATCAGCCTTTACACCATGACCAACAATATATGGGTTTTGCAGTAAGGTTTATTTTGCAATGAACAGTTTAGTAAACCGATAGTGTGGCATGTAGGGAAGCGCTACATTTGTAAACAAATTAATCCTTACTGAACAAAATTTTCGTTTACAATTTTCATTACATTTACTTCCCCAAAACCATCTCAAGTAAAATGTAATATATACTGTGGCAGCCTTATACACAAACACAGCTGCGTCTTTTAATTAAGTCTAACATAACAAAAATTTATTATTGCTACGCCTCCTATTTCGATCCTATTATTATAATTATTATTATTCGGAATGAACATCTGTATTTCGGATCTCCGCAGAAATATGATTAGTGTGTAACATGGTTGCCATGCCAGGAAAATTCATTCTTTTCCCTCTGAGGGACAATTTAACAAATCAGGGAATTTCAATATGAGTCAGGGAAAATTTAACTCTTTAAAATGAGTCAAAGGGAGGTGACATATTCACAGAAGTAAAACATGTTCCATTGGCTGAATATTGTTTGAAGAAATTAAACGACAAGCAGATATAGGGTCTCCTGTAAGATCAATCCATTCTGCACCTTGCATTTACGATAAATTCATGTAATAAATGGACGAAGAGGATGGCTGTGATGGGAGTTTGGAAGCCATAATCTGGACCAATTGTCCATTCATTTGGTCAGGGAAAGTGTACATTTGACTGTCAGTCAGGGAATTTAAAAAACTATGGCTCTGGCAATCATGTCTCAACAAGCTCATGCATGTTGAGACTTGAGAAACTGATCACCTTCAACATGACTTGTTTGTGGACATCTCATACAAATTCACTTTTGCATAGGTAACTGATTCTCATGCATGTAGCATGTACACGAATAACTATGAACACTTGCATAAATGATTTGGTACTTTTTACAGGGATTCAGTGCTAATCAAGACCTGCAGATTCAATAATCATAAGTCATGATCACTTTAATAATTTGCATCATGATGAACTGCATCCTTAATGACATTGCTACATGTAATTTCTATTTCAGTGATTATGTTGAAATATGGACCTTACTGTTAAAGACAATAGTTGTCAAGTTTGATTATGTTCTAAAACAATGCAAACACTTTCATAATTTGCTGTATAGTAGTTGACTTAACAACAAATATTTCTTTTCTACATATACAATTACCAGCATTTACTCATTATTTGTTTTCACTGCGCCATTACCTCCTACCATTTCATCCACTCACTACTACTGACACACTTCACAAACAATTATTAAACTTGATATTTTGACTCCACTACACAACATCAACAGACAAAACGTAATGGCAAATAAGTTTATTTTGGGACGGCTTGGCGAGAACCAACCCTACAAAGTATTTATGTAAATACAATAATAGGTGAAAACTGGTGAATACCTAATGTACAACACTTGTAAACTAGCTTTCACAAAAAGATAAAAATCGTGCGACAAATGGTCGCTCTTGACCTGAATCTCCCATTTAAGCAGGCAGGCTTAGTGCCAGGTAGGCTGCCAGTCATTCTGGGGAAACTAATTAATAAAACTCAGACAACGCATAACTGGCACACGGAACACGGTAGTAGCACAGAGGCTAAACAAAAAGAAAAAACTCCTCACAACTGGTCGATCTCGACCCGAATCCCTCAAATAAGCACACAGGCTTTAGTGCCAGTTAGGCTGGAGAAACTAATTCATAAAACTCAGACAACGCATAACTGGCACGAGGAACACGGTAGGAGCACAGAGGCTAAGCAAAAAGAAAAAAACTGCTACAACTGGTCGATCTCGACCTGAATCCCCCAAATAAGCACACAGGCTTAGTGCCAGTTAGGCTGGAGAAACTAATTAATAAAACTCAGACAACGCATAACTGGCACGAGGAACACGGTAGGAGCACAGAGGCTAAGCAAAAAGAAAAAACTGCTACAACTTGTCGATCTCGACCTGAATCCCCCAAATAAGCACGCAGGCTTAGTGCCAGTTAGGCCGGGGAAATTTAATAAAACTGTGATCAACGTATATTTTGACTCCACTACACAACATCAACAGACAAAACGTAATGGCAAATAAGTTTATTTTGGGACGGCTTGGCGAGAACCAACCCTACAAAGTACGTAGAGTGACAAAGTATTGGGCGAAATGACAAATGAAAGCTCCTAGAGCCCAAGAAACTTGAAAACTGAAAGCCTTTTTTCTAGGTCATCATCGGTAGGCGTCCTTGGCTAGAACGGACTTTCAGCGGCCGAGCCACTGAAACACACTGTCACAAACCCCATTATAAGCAGCGAAGGTGGCCCCTCACGAACGCAAGGAATATAAACCAAAAGTGGAAGAGTCAACCCCGACAATTCTCAGGTCCTTGCGAAAAGCCTCTCTAATTGTGGTATAGCTGATAGGCTCGTTCTGGGAAACTAACTAAAAAGAGTTGTTCCCGCGAAATATGGGGCAAAAATGAGATCCCCGGAGCTAAAGGGGATGGAAAAAAGAGCAAGGTACCTCTTTAGAAGCTTGACAGGACAAGCAGGGCCAAACATTTCCGAAAAAATCACTTCGAGTCATCGTCCTTGCAAAGTTGGTCGTTCTTGCTTTTGAGAACCTTAATGATCATGAAACCCTCATGAAAGAAAATATAATACCCCCTAATTATGGAGACCTCATCAAACCTAAAATCGTTTTGAAAACACACCTAGCCCCTTCAATAATCGAGTTATCCCTGGGAGAGGGGATACCCGCCATGGTATGAACCCATTTAATACCATAAACATCCGAGTCTACGACGCACGGGGAGTGCGACTCTTCAATGAGGTGTTGCAAATACAAGGCAACATGGCAGGGACTGGCAGGACAGGCCCAGGAATGAAGCTTACTGGCAGCAAAACATTTTTACTTGCGAGAAGCACGAAGGTACACCACTGTCGTACTAACTGCCTTTGAGGAGAGAACCGTCGATTGCATTGTAGACTGTCTGTCAGCCTCAGGGTTCAACCCTCTGGTGGGAAATTCTGGGGCCCGCACTAGAAACCAGAGCGGAATATATCTGAAAAGTAATCGAAAATACAAAAGAAAATGAGAGGATCACGCAATAAAAAAGAAAAAACACCGGAAAAGGGAAGTGGGGGGTCAAAAGGCTACATGCAAAAACCTAATGGGTCCAAACCTAAAGGTACGCATAACACGCGTGTAGAGGCACAGGCAACACTTTCCGTCAGGCGGCGTAGAGCAGAAGCCCGCCAGGGACGAGGGAGGTGTGGGGCGCCGAAAATAAACTCGAAGCGCTATGACGCCAAAAAATAAAGGCCTGGTTCTGAAAAGGGAATTACGGACCTTCCCTGGAACAAATAATCCCTGGAACTTAAGCAATAAAACCCAGTCCACAACAAAACTATTCCAATGCACTCCATCTCTAGTAGAAACATTTCAGAAAATAGCTGACTTCCATACGTGAGGAATAAGGGCTCCCGTGAGCGCGCAGAGCCCAATGTGTCTGATATACATGACTCTGACAATGAGGCAAACAGGTGGGCCAAGCCAGTTGTTGTCCTATCCCCAATTTTGAGCGAAGGCATAAACAGCCTAACAGCCTGGCTGAAAAAATAGAGAGTTAAGCCAAGGCAACTCGCCGTTGTAACTACAGGCGAACCTGTCAATAATGTAAGGACCTAAGAGGTGAATTAGCCCTAGCAAAACAAAATCGTTGAGGCCATAACCATCGAAGTCAACGAGCTTGCAGATACAGACCGCACTAGCGTTCAGGTCCCTAGGGATCCACTTGACCTCGAACGAAATACAATGATGGGAGCAAATTTGAAAAGCAACTAGAGCTAAATTCTTTGAGATCGCATTTCCTGCTGCCGTCGCGGAGAATGGATTCGACGTTCTGGTTGTCAGAATACCAAAAAACCTTGGAATTAGATGACGGGCTCGCGAAGGCTAGTAAGGCAAGACAAACCGCTTTGAGCTCTCTTCAAGTCGATCTACGAACACTTTCCGACCAATTCCGATAAAAAATCAACTCAGGTTCAGACTCCACTTAAACGCCGCAGGCTGAATCGGAAGCATCGGAGAAGCCGGAGCTTACTCTCACTGGAAGCGAACTGGAACCCCTCGATAAATTTTGCCGTAGAGAGGCTAACATAATTCGACCAAAATTCAATTTCATACAAAGAATCAACGGACAGGAAAACCTAGATATCCAAGGAAACAGCTGAGTAAACAACTGAGAAAAGAAATCGGGCCATAATGCACGCGACGGATCCCACGCTACTCGAGAGGGAAATACTATGGGCGGCTACACACGGGACGCGTAGAACGTGGACTGTGGGGGACGACTAATATGAAGACAAAGCCGCCAGGTCGCGAGATAATCTAGCAATGCGTTCATCCGTGGCTCTAATACTTCCATCCAGAGTGTTATGTTCAGATGAACGCGAAGCCACTAGAAAATTCGAACGGGCTCCCACAGGGACTTTTCCTCATAGGAATTCGAACAAAGCGAGACTAAAGCAAATCGGCATGGACAGCCCGCAAACTGTAAATTAAGGCCTGAACGCGGTAGGCTCCCCCTCCTATAGCTAGGCCATAGTCAAGAAAAATGGCAATAGGGATACCTTGGCTTCTTCTAGATTTCTGAAGCGGTTTGAGGGAGGCTGACAAGAACCCAAAGGGAAGCGTGCAAAGTAGAAAATACCTAAAAACCCAGGTGCCGAGATCCCAGGTGAACGCAACGAAATACTGGTGATCAGGGAAAATTACGATAGCCGCACTAGAGGTAAAATATGAATAAATAAAAACCCATATCAAAAATATAAGTGGCCATGGACAAGTCTTCGCACTTGAATTTCTGTTTGAAGAAAAAAGTGCAAACGTGCCTAAAATCCAGGATTA